TTTTCCAGTGTGTCAATGAAGTATTGCTGGTGGGGATTTTATATTACACAAGCATAATCTAGAAAAGGTCTTATGAGGTAAAGGGTTTGTTTCACGGTCTGTGAAGCTTGCTTATAATTTCTGTGTATGAAGTATGGCATTCTGCCTGGCTTTGTCACAGTCATATCAATGTGTTTATTCCACTTGAAATTGTCAAAAAAATAGATGCACAAATACTTATAATAAGATTCGTTGCTAATTATTGAATTATTTATTTCGTACGTTGCATTTGGTTTACAAATACGGGTGGTGAATGATACACAGCAGTATTTATGGATGTTTAAACTCATTTTCCATTTATGACACCACGCTGATATTTGACACGAACCATTATGCAGTATTTCAGCATGCTTGTGCAATTTATTGTCTCTAAACACTATACAATCTTCTGCAAATAACTTAATGGGAGAGGTAATACCATCAACTATGAAATTAATATAAATCAAGAAAAGTAAAGGTCCTAATACGCTCCCTTGTGGTATACCGGACGTAACAGTTGCCGCAAATGATTGCGAGCAATCAAGCTCTGCTGTCGATCAGTTAAGTAACTATTTATCTAAGGTTTATGTTTGCTGCAAAGAGCATTGGAAATTCTAACAGACTGTGTGGGACGGTTTCGAAGGCTTTACAGAAATCGAGAAATGCTGCATCTTCTTAAGTGCCACTGTTAAAAGATTGTGCAACGTAATGTTGAAATTCGACTAGTTGAGTTATGCATGAAAGTTCCTTTCTGAAACCATGCTGAGATAGAGTGAAGGAGTTGATGGATTTCAGGTAATTAACCTTCTCACTGTATATGATGTGTTCAAATAACTTACTGCAAATTGCTGTTAGCGAGATGAGCCTGTAATTTTCGATGAGCTTTTTATCACCTGATTAATGAACTGTTTGCATCTTTGCAGTCATGTGGAACAATTTCAGTATTTAGTGTAGTTTCATGTATAACACATAAGTACTGTACAGTGATGCCATGACAGTTTTTAAGAACAAATGGTGATAAGTTATCTGATCCAATTGCTTCAGTTGGATCTATCTGCCGTAACAAGCAATCAACACCAGTAATGTCAATTTCTATGTCTTTCATGGAATGCTGCGTGACTGAAGAGCGCCTCCACATCACCAGTTGTGCTTTGAGTAAAAACTTATTAGAAAAAATTTGTTGAAAGTTTTTCTTCAGAGCAGGAATGCCCGTATCATTTTTTCCACTTTGTTTCACATACTTCCAGAACTCTTTCCGGTTTCGCTTTAACTTATCACTTAGCTGGGCAAAAAAAGAATCCTTTCTTGTCTTTATTGCTGGTTTCAGCATAAGATTTGCATTCCACAGCTCTTGTTCATTTAATGCGGTACTCATTTTGCAAAATTTTCTGTATGAATCCATGCTTTCCTAATTAACCTGCAAGTATCGGCGTTAAACCAAGGTTTTTTTTTTTGTTCTCTTCTTTAGTATTCTGTTTGGTGCATGAGCTTCAACTGCGTTTAGTAGCTTATCATGAAAAGAAGACCACAGCGCTAAGGAGCAACGTCTTTCTGCCAGAAGCAAGAATGTTGGGTAATACAACTCTAATTCTGCACAAACAGAATCATAGTCACCATATTCATACAGAAAAATGTGTCCACCGCGATATTATCTGTGCTACTTGATGGCATTTTATGTTTAAATCAGCCAGAATGGCCTTATGGTCACTTATACCAGGAATAACCAACACAGTGTAAACAATATATGGGTCATTACATAAGGTTAAGTTCAGAATCGCATCATGTCTCATGGGAACATTCACATATTGACAAAAGCCAAAAACTCTCAAGAATTCACCAAATGAAGTATACACTGACAATCTTTTCTGTGTACCACTGGTTATCCAGCCAAAATCTGGTAGATTGAAATGTCCACTTGGGAGTACACTGTCCGCAATTCACTGTACCATCTCCGAAAGCAGTGTCATAGGAGTATCACCACTGTTTGGTGGACGATAGAAACAACCAAACGCAACAGTATTTCCCTTCGGTAAGAAAACGCGGCACCAAACTGCATACTTCGGCTGAATTATGGAAAGAAATTTTCTCGCTAGTCCTCTTGTTCGCAACAAGAATAAGTATGTCCCCACCATGGCGATTCCTATATTTCCTATATGCAGTGAAGCCATGTCGGAAGATCTCGGTATCAGGTATCGCACTGTCTAGCCAAGATTCTGTACTCATAATAAGTTTTGCTTGAGTATCCACTACAAGGGACGCAAACACGTCAACTTTATTGTTAATACTCCGACAGTTCACAAAAAAAGGGGGTGTGCTCGGCCTGTGTTTGAAGTCTCGATTCTCCTGGTTCTGCGATGAGTGACGTTATGTCAGTAGCTTCTTAAGATTGCGCATATGCTTGAAGTGGGATGGGTTAGTTCATTTTGCTGTCCCACACGAACGTCTTTCTGTTGATAACAAGCTTACCGTAGTTAAGGTGCACTCGGTATCTTCTGCTCTCTCTCTTTTTTCCTCGCATAATTCCAAAGAAGCCGTCATTTTTCACGAACACCATAACTGCAGTCTTCGGACAAAAGTAATCTTCAGAAGACTAAGCAGTTTTGCCATGCATTCGGAGAGGTCATGAATATATCGAAAAAATTAAAATTTGGTTAATGGGGAACAAAACACTCTAGGTTTGCTGGTATCAGGTAGGACAGTGCTCCACCAGCGATCGGGCACCCTGCGCCTTTACTTCATATACATAACACTGGGCTGATCTGCTCGTGAGCCCTCACGCTTGTTAAGCGCGCTTCGCAAACATCGGTGCGGTGAGGAGAAATTTTTGTGCACGCTTGCGCGCAAGTATGCAATGTCTTCCTTGTCACAAAGGTTATTTACGTGTGTCAGGTACTCGTGAGATAAAGATAAGGCCGTGTATGGAGTATTCACCACTTTGGTGTAAGGGTGTCAATGAAAACTAACTTGCAGGGATAATTTGTTTCCCCCTTAAGCAACTGTTGGAAAATTGCATTTGTTTGTGCACCAACTTATGAATCGGCTTCTGTTTAACAAACTGGCGTATTGTTTCCACTTTTGCACGATGCCAACCTTTGGCTTTGGCTAACTAAAGGTTGACCTAGAGAATGCATTGTGGCCTCCGACTTTGATAGCACGTGTACTTATGTCTGCATGACTAATTTGAGCATAATTTCATACTAGTAATTATAAAGGGTGTGGCAAAATACGTTCTTTTCTAATGTCCTCTTTACTTGGCGATTCAAACACAGACAAGTGCCGAATCGTGGGAACAGAGTGAAGTTAAAAAAAAAAGAAAAAAAGAAAATGATGATAATGAAACGATCCCACTTCGAAGCACTGAGAGTACGGGATGACCAGCTGTAAGCTCGAGATTCAGGAACGTCTGAGCTCTTGGGCTTAATCTCTCAAACAGCTGATCTTTCGAAAACGTTTGGCGATTGGACATTAGTTCCCTCATTGTTAGGTTGACGTCATAAGAAGTGCTCAAGTGTTGCCCTGATTTTCAAAATGGTGCAATAAAGGTCGCAAGCAGTAGAAAATGCAAAAGAAAGATTCATTTTGTTTTTAATACATTGAAGTTTTGCAACGAAATGTTGGGAGCCACTTGGGTGCTTTGCCGTTAAGTTTTAGAATTTGAATTGTGTGTGAATGATGGCTCCCTTAGTGTTTTCTTCTAAAAGAAAGAGTGGAATAAAACGATTGCTGTCTACGTAACTATGCATGGTGTCGTGCTTCATAAACATGAGCTGCTCAAGCGTGAATCGCTGGACATAGAAGCCTGTGTGCATTATGAAAGTGCTTCTCTAACTGCCAACAGGCGCCGCGGTGGCATCACCCGGGACTCTCCCACCTTAGAACATAGCAAATGTTAATTTTATTCGGTGTGAATCGTCGCTTCGAGGATCAGGGAGGCGCCGCCGCGGCCATGGTTATGTGGGCTTTCCTGCTTCATGCGGGTTCAGAACCAATGTTTTCAATGTTTTCAAAGATGGCGCGCAAGCTGGTATTCGGAAGCTTGCAGTGAACAAAAGCATCGTGCCAACATTCAAACACATCAAAACTTAGAGAAGCTGTTGATGCCCACTATGCTCACCATGTCATTACCGCCCTGTGACATGGTGGACATAATGGGAATCGATAAAGGTTTGCCTTTCATGTGCATTCCATATCTTCATGCCTTCTCCCACTGTATGAATTGTGGGAAACAGATTCGATGTTAACGTGTTTTTTTTGTCGAGGAATAAGTTGGGCCGAGTCTGCGCAGTGGTGGATAGGAAAATTGAAGGCAAAGAAAAAAAGTGGTGTGATTGTTAGGTCAGTCACTAGGAAGTGTTTGTTGAATGTGGAATGGGTGTGGTGTATCTTATCCCCTTCTCATGTGGTAAGTGCTATATTGGGCAAGCTGAAAGATGTTTTAATAGCCGACTAATAGATCACAGGGAATTGCTGAAGGCCCACCCTTTGTCGAATCTGTGCCTACATTGCAGGGATCGCAAGTGTTACCCATGGTGACACGTGTGTTGTGAGGCCTTCGGTGACATTGCATCAACTAGAGATAGATTATCTCACTGCCAACCTCTTAATCTCTGACGTCATATTTTTTTGCTAGCTATATATGTGTATCCTTCAATAAACTTTCAACTGCTATTCTGCGCTTGTGTGCGTGCGCCTTCTCTATTTCTTGTCGCCTTTTTGAGCACTTTTGAAGCTATGAATTACCAAGTACTCGCCCAGCGTTCAGTACTTTCAAAGCTCGTGCGTTTCTTAAACTACTCCTAAGGGAGATTCTGCCTGAACTTATTTGGTTTCTTTTTTGTTTTTGTTTTTCAAGTACGTTTGTTTGACATTGTGTGATTTCGCAGGGTTTTATTTGAGTGATCATGAGTTGTGATGGCTATGATAATCATGAGTACAAATTGAGGTGCTCGTGCTGAAGTTTGCCTTCCTCTTCTTCGTCACAGGGTTTCTTCAGGAGAAGCCAGTCAAGCGTCGTGAATTACCAGTGCCCCCGGCAAAAAAACTGTGTTGTTGATCGCGTCAACAGAAACCGATGCCAGTACTGCAGACTACAAAAGTGTCTGGCACTAGGAATGTCTCGAGATGGTATGCGCCGTTTTGGTCATTCTTTTCCATGGTGTGTTCGCATGTTACGAGATAAATTTCATCCTGTATTATTGAGTGTATAATATATTTAATTATTAGCCTGTGCAGTGTCATTATTGGGTTAACACACATGGCCAAATTTGGAGTTCAGGAAAAGATCAGGGCTCAAAAAGATGAAAAATCCTTGGAACGGAAGTGTAGCTGAGGCCAGCAATTGCACACCACACATGCAGCTTGGTAAAGCATTTGCGAGAAAGGCATGTGACTATCACATTTCTTTCAGCTGATGACTTGCATTTTCATGATTATTTATTCATTTCTGTAATTGTCATTGTGCTGTCGATGCATTTGTTTCTCATTACTTGCACATGTGACAAGATGTTGTGAGCCTTCGGGTGTAGCATGCGAGGGTTTGTAGGTCAGATTTCGTCTCATAAAGAGATAACTTGCTACTTGACCATGCCTGGCAAAAAAAAAGAGTATTCTACGCTTGCTGCCATCTCTAGGAGTGCACAAATTCACAGAAATACCCAATAAATTGGGTCGTAGGACGAATTCTGCAGTAGCCCAAATGATAGGACATTGGATGAAATCATAAAAATATGGTAGGTTTCAGACTACTCACTGGCACAAGCTTGACGATTCTTTATTTCACATGCATATCATAATAACTGCACTACAGTTAACAGACTAATGGTAATCTCCTTTGTGATTGCCGGTTGGCTTCATTAGGTTGTGTCTAACAAGGAAAATGAGCTCTTGTTACATTCTTTTTCTTCCTAAGTTCACCTGATGTTAGTAACATTAATTTGGTTACGACACAAATTTTATATTTTACTCTGAACATTGAGAAAAGTATTCCACATTGCACGCACATCTTTTTTCGTGTTTCACGGCGAAAATGGGAGTGTTTCCTGCCTCTTAGAGCAGCAGAAAGCTTCTCTACATGATTTGGGAGCACCCACTAGATGCACTTCAGCCTCTCTTTACATGTCGGTGAATTTCCTTTCCTAATGGCCAGAGCCAGGGGTTGTGCGCATGGTGACAGGACTGATCATTGAAAAGAAATAGGTTTAGTAAGGATTCAAACGGAATTCGTGATTGCTTCTTTGTGAGCATGGCTGCTCTCACATACCCCTAATAGTTTCACAATATCATGATAGGGGCCATGGTGCTAGCTGTCCATTGTAAATGTCTAACACAGCTAGACTCCTGAATAATGCGACCTTACATTATGCTAATCCGGGATAGTCAATGCTGGTCTTCAGTAGCTACTCGCGCATGAGTGGCTTGTGCAGGGTCATCTGGCAGTTGTAGAGTTGTCTGTTCATATGTCTACAACTGTGTCAACTTGAAACTGGCTTGACTGGGTTGCACACAGAAAGACTTTATATCGTCTGGATGTTGCAAGCCTGTGGTACCCTTTCTACAGATCTTGTATGTCTCTTTCCCCACTCCTGTTATCATGTAGGGTTCATCGGACATTATTGGTCGTGACCCTTTGTGGTACCAAACTTCGTCACATATGCTAAAACGTCTGTTTGTAGTGGTACTCGTGCAGGTTAGCATGTTCGATGCTTCTTCACGTTTTTCAGCTGCTTGGTCTTGTGGCTCTATTTGCTTTGATAGCTCAACGGGGATGATTCGATAAGAAGTGTAGTTGTACAGTAATTGTAATGGAGATGTGTGTCTACCAACGTGTGGCTGATTGTTAACATGAAACGTTGTTTCTTGAAGGTATTCGCTCCAGTGGTCCATGTTTCCATTGAGGTTCTTTCAGAGCACTGATAGCACTTCTGTATTTAGATGTTTTTCAAGACCATTCGTTTCAGTTGTGTAAGGCACGCTCAAACTGTGATTGATACCCTTCATGAAGTAATGTGTTGCAACTAGTGAAGGGAAGACTGTTGTTGTCTGTCACCCCAGTTCTTGGTGTTCTAAATGTCAATACGGTATCTTTATCGACGAAGTGCAGAATGTGTTCTCTCAGTTTTTCTGGCACAGCACTCGTGATGATGAATCTTGTCATGACATATCTGCTGTTATGGAATACTTGTTGGGATCCTCAGTATGAATTGGCCCAACGTTGTGTCAAATGGTGTCCGCCTTGGCATAATAGGGTTTAGGGAACCTGCTTGCACTCAAGTCTTGGCGTTATATGTTTGGCACGTTTGTAATCCACGCACGTAGGCCCTGACGTCGCGGTTCATGTCATGCCAAAAGTAGCATTTTGATTTTTCTTAGCGTTCGAGAAGTATAGCTGTGACTGTCTTCGTTGTACCGTGATGCCAAAACTGACTTTTTGACTCTTTCTGGCCCTACAATGTGGTCTCTGTTGGTAGTCACATGCTCAAGTACTATGCCTTGTACCATCCTGTAGGGGGTCACCCTAGGTGCTTCTTGAGTTTTGGTAATGATGGGGGCGAGTGTAGGATCGTCTTGCCGCGCTTTGCATAGTCGGTTGTTTTCAGTTGCATACTTGTGTTGCTGACACATGCGGCATTCTCACACATACTGGGCAGTGTCCAAGTTCTGCCAGTAAAAACATTTGCAAAATTTTGGATTGGTTGGCAGGGCGTCTCTGTTCTCTTGCATGTTGTGCCTTTGTATTATTATTTGTTATTTCTAAATACTACTGGCCATAATGGCCATATCAGGGTGGGCACAGTAAATGTTGGCATAAAGCAAAAACAAGTACATACTACATATTATAATGAAGGCAGAACTAAAAAAATACATAATTTTTCAGAACGGAAAAAAAAAGATCAAATAATGCTGTAGGAAAACGTGCATACAGGTATTGTGATGGTGGCATAGTGTGTAATATAAAATACCTACATGATGAATTTCGGAACAGTGCAATGTACATACAACACTAGCAACACTTAATGTTACAATATATTTTTAAAGCACTCTTCAAAGCTTTCGATGCTTTTCGATATCAGTACAGACACTGTCAAATGATTCCATTTTTTTATCTTTCGGAAAAAAGAATACGCATACACATCAAGGTTAGATTTCGGAACCAAAAACACAAGTTGATTGCTCGATCTTGCATTGCTCATCGGCATGGGAACAAGCTAAGGTTTAGTTTTAATATTAAGGTGTCCTTTTTATAACAAAAAAAATTATGTCGACAAGCTTTCCGTTGTTGAGCCAGCGTAGGCAGTTAAAACAACTAAAGCATTTCAGAAATAAAGTCATTTTGAGTGTAGCACGATAAAATTAGTCTTGCCATTTTTCTCTGTAGCTTTTCAATTCAGTTTATTTACCCCAACTGGAACACACTCCATACTGCACTGACATAGTCAATGGGCCTTATGTAGGTCAAATACCTAGGCAAGCAGCTCAACAGATGGTGTTGCTGGGTTTAGTTTGCGGAGAAAGAACCATAACTTTTTTCTGCAGCTGCGCAAATGCTGTTCACATGTGGTTTATAACTTAGGTCTTTTGAAATTACTATTAAGCCTAGGTATTTTATCGAGTGAGCTTCATTTAGAGTTGTGGAGTTCATCTCATAATTTAAACTACATGCCTTTTGCGGTGTATAACTCGGAGCATAACTGATTTGAATTCATTAATTTTCATTAGCCATCCTTGTACAGCCTGCATAGTTCTGGATATTAGACCATCATGTCCGAACAATATAGCAGTTCTGTCATCGCCTTTGGCATGATCAATATCATTTATGCAAAGCAAGAGAAGAAAAGGTCGTAAGATTAATGCCTGTGGTACGCCTGAGGTGATGTTTAGCAGATTCGATTTGCCACTTTTTATTTCGACATGTTGTGTTCGACCTGTAATGTGTGAGCTGATCCATGCAAGAACTGTGTAATTTATATTCCTTTCCACTAGCTTATTTATTAATTTCGCATGCGCAGCCCAACCTAAAGCCTTGGATGAATCTAAACATATATAGCGTAAATCTGTTTTCTGTTGGTCAGTGAATTGAAAGGTCATGAATTGTTTCATAGTGAATCAATTCCATCAAAAGCCATGTTGATTAGAAAAGAAAGCATTCTTGTCTTCAAGGTGATTTCAGATTGATTTTGATTTTATGTCTTCAAGAAGCTTACTGCACATAGACGTTAATGAAATGGGCTGATGTTTTCCGATGTTTTGCTTTTTACCTGATTTGCATACTGGCACAAGTTTTGCAACTAGTCAATTATCTGGAATCTGTTCTGCATTAGTGAGGCCATAAATCAGTGGCAGATGCCAGTGGGGGGCACCTCTCTGATATTTTTGTCTGTCCCCCGTCCCCCTTCAACCCCCCAAGAGCAGCAATCATAATCAAAACGAAATGCATAAGTTCTACCACACTGGTAGTTACAACCAAAACTTCAGTGCACAAGTCAGCTTTGATTTGAGTCAAAGTTTAATTAAGTTTAGGATCTTCACAGTTTAGAACACACATTTTTTTGTACATTTACTTTGTCATTTCAACTGCTAACAGCAGTGTCGTGATTATTCTTCTTGGCGTGTATTTTAGTTTTGTCTGTGCAGAGCTTTCTAGTAGTTTTGATGCTACTGCTTTTTGTTGTGGCTTTTGTATATTTGACGGTTTAATTCAATACATCATACCTTTTCTGCTTGTTAGTCAGCTCTGACAGTTTAACCAATACCGTATTATGTATTGAGGTGCTCAATTTGGGAAATCGATCTGGTAAGTACTTTATTTATTCAGTTGTTTTTTTGCTCTTGTTCTAAAGCTTCACATTTATTCGCAAGGTAGTCCTAAGTTTCTTTGTTTTTATCCTGATTGCACCTAGGGTGACATAGTTTCTGATCTTGCCCTTGTTTCCCACGTGTTGAGAGCAACCTCTGCTTATGATGAGTGCTATATTGTCATGTGCGAGGCCGAAGGAAGAAACTCGACTTGTAGTTAAAGGCTGCAGGACAGATGCAAGATAAGTGGATTCAGCCGAGTGGAAAGTGAATCTGGGCAGGCTGCATAGTGGATGGCAACCCAATGGATGGCAAGCGCAGCCGAGGTGATCAGAAGTGATTCAATAGACAATGCCACTGGAGCCAAGGTTCCAACAAGGCTGCAAGTTTCGCTGAAGTGTTCAATGATTTCTCCTGCTGCAACTCCCCAATCTTCCTCAGACCTAAGCAAAGCATACTAGCGATAGGAACTCACCACAGTGGTCTGGTGTCTAAGGCACTCAGCTGCTGACCCGCAAGTGCTGGGATCGAATCCTGGCCACGGTGGCTGCATTTTTGATGGAGGCGAAAATGCTTGAGGCTCGTGTGGTTATATGTAGGTGCACGTTAAAGAACCCCAAAGGGTCAAAATTTCCAAAACCCCCTCACTACGATGTCTCTCATAATCATATGGTGGTTTGCGACGTTAAACGCTAGCGCTTATTATTGATCGCCAGGAAGCATTACGTATGAACGAGCTTGCCAAAGCTCATGTCCTGCATCCCCTCAACATATGTGTTGTGATAGAGGCATAAGTGGAAGTACCATGCAGCTTGCACAAGGCGTGAATAAGATATTATTGGGGGTGGGCTTAATTCTGAAAATAACCAAAGATGGTTTGATATGTATGTATCTATAGATCATGTATGCTTACAGAATACATATACCGAGATCATTGTAAAGAACAGAGTCTGTAATTTTCATTTGGTCTAAAATGCAGGCTTGTCAGGGCTTTCTATGAGGGAAATTTGCAGTATAATTAATTCATTATGACACTTGTCCAACTTAGCACCACAGATATCTTGTAACATGCAAAATCATCTGAGGCTGAACTGCATTTACATGAGATAATTAAATATTTGCTGCAGCAAACACAATAAAATACGCCAGGCATGCACAGAAGGTGCAGTAGAGTCACAGCGAAAGCCGGAAGAGCGACCTTTATACAGCCTTCTTTAAACACTCTTGGGGCGGGCACACTTGCGTGATATCCACTATGCCATAAATTATAATTTTAGTGTAGTGGGAAAGCATCTGCTATGCCATTTGTAGTCATTTTTTCGTAATGGCGTGGAACCCACTATACACTTGCAAAGTTTTATGTGCATTTTCTTGATGCTCTGGCTGGTGACAAAGAAGAATTTTGCCTGAAGCTTTTGTAATGAGTTTGGAGCTTTCAACGACCCACTCATTATGCAATTTGCATTGTTTGATGCCTGGTCTTTACAATACAAGCACTTTATGACACATGTTAACTTGATTTCTTACCTGATATGAAGCCTACATACTGTCAGTTTGTAATGGAGTTTGAAGTACTGCTATAGCTGAGCACCGGGCTGCCACGCAGAGGCAGGGGTTCAATTTTCTCGTTTTAGTTAGTTTATTTTGTAATAGTGGTTACGCACATTGGCGGCAGTGGACAACTACGGTGGCAGAATCAGCCCTTGTTGTGATCTCATAACAGCTTTCGCTGTAAAATGATAAGCATTAGAAGAGCAGAAGTTCGTTGGTCTGTACTTGCTAATGTGAAGCATGGAATGAATATTTGTCTCATCTGTCGGACTTTCTGTTCCATATTTTTTGCTTCGCTTTATTCTAATAATATTATGCGTGTTAAGGTGCAGGCATTGCAGGGCAATTTACCAGCAAGGCCCATATTTACAAAGTTTTATTTGAAAGTAGTTATTATCTTGAGATTTTACACAAATTATTTCTAGTGTTTTATTCACATGATATTAAATTAACTATGGTGTATAAGCCATCAAGTGCATGCATGTCTAGTGTAGTAGCACCTTTTAATTGAGCTACTAGAGATAGAAAATGGCCATTTAACCGCCCCAGATGGCAGCCATAACTGTGGTGTTGTGTATGAGGTGAGCACTGTCCAATGATTACTGCCAGCTCTTACGCAAAATGACTGGAAAGCTACGTGATGCACTATGGGTGAATGATGTGGTTTGTCTGTGCAGCGGTCAAGTTCGGCCGCATGTCCAAGAAGCAGCGGGAGAAAGTGGAAGATGAGGTGCGCTTCCACCGGGCACAGCTGGTGCGCCCGCAAGGCGGAGCGGTGGCCTCGACGGCCGCTGCCACATCGACGCAGCCTACCCAGCAGGCCACCGAGACGTCGCCTGACAGCTCGGTCTTCGACCAGCAGCAGACACCGTCATCCTCAAACCAGGTCGTGCCCTTCCTCAACGGAGGGTGGGTATCTGTAATGGCATCTGAATCATATAACATTTTCCCTGTGCACCCTTGTTGTAACATTGCACATACTGCGAGACAACTTTTTCTTGCGATACTTTGCAGAAAAAAGAGGGCCTGTACAAATAGAGAATATTCACCCCCTCGAAACACTTGTCGCAAGAACTGGAGATAATGCCCTGTGACAGTCTACAAAACAAGCAGGCTGAAAGACGTGGCGCAAGGTTGACAAAGAGAAAAAAAGAGAAAAAAAAAAAGGCGAGACAGAAAGAGCGCCAACTCACAACTAAGTTTATTTTCATGAAGCATTCGCAATATATAGGCTTTTGGAGGACATGTGCAGACCATTTCATTCACCGCACGTGCAGGTTTTATGATGTAATAACCTACGAATGCAATCATGATATCTGGGAACAAGCAACAAACAGATATGCCTAATGTAAAGACGTCGAAAGAACCAAACACACCCAAGCCTGTGCAAAAAAAAATGCGAGGAAAAACCAGCAAAAAAAAAAGGACTGACAGACACTTCGTAGCACCCTACTAAAGTACATCTTTATTTATTTATTTATTTATCATATACTGCGAACCATTTAAGGTCCAAGCAGGAAAGGTACAGCAAGTTCAAAGGTAAAATAAAAGTACAACAAAGTTACAACAAAATTGATACTGGTATACACGAAATGTAAAAAAAACATAGCAATCACCATCAAATTATACTCGTTTCCAGAGGGCTGAGTACACCCACTGCAACACAATCCATAAGCAAAGCACCACACTCTCAGGCACACAACAAATTGTTAAATCAAACAAGTATTGTGAAAGCCAGGAAACACAAGGCGCATTTCATGGTGAAAAGGAAAGAAGAGTAGAGTTTCGGGGCAACAAATTCCACTCAGAGATTGATTTCGGGAAAAAAGAGTGTTTGTATAAATTAGTTCTTGCGAAAATTGGCTTGATGCTACAGCTGTGTTTGTGACGGGAAGGCCTGGAAGAATCCTTTACCATGTAGTTTTCTGGCTTTATTTCGAGTTTAGAAAAATATATTAGACGGAGTAAGTTAAGTCGAGCAGCTCGTCGTCTGTTCTCAAGAGGTTCAAGATTTGCCAACTGCAACATCGCAGAGGGGGAATCGCGGCGTCTATACCTACTGTAAATAAAACGGGCTGCCAGGTGCTGAATTTTTTCTATCTTTTGTATATTGTTTTTTGTGTGAGGGTCCCATACTACGGAGGCGTACTCCAAGGAAGGCCTTACCATTGTTTTGTAAGCTTTAAGCTTTAAGGAACTGGGGGCATTAGCTAATCGGTGCTTTAGAAACCCTAGTTTTTTACGTGCGGAAGAGCATGTATTTACTATATGGGTTGTCCAGTTGAGGCTTGAGGTAATTGTAACACCCAAATATTTATATTCTTCGACTTGTGTAATCTGTGACCCTTTTATATCATATTTAAAGTGAAACTTGTTGATTTTGTTGGTGATACACAAGTGAGCAGTTTTTTCAAGATTAATTACCATGTTCCACTCGGAGCACCAAGTTTCCAAGTTACCGATGTTTCTGTTTAAAACTTGTTGATCTGCCGAATCTAGATTCAACAGTTGGAATTCACTGTTATGCAACACAACTGAAGGCACGCTGACGCACGAGTCACCTTTCTTCATTATGTGAAAGGCTTCGAGTAACTCCCGCGCCAGCGCATCCCGGCTCTTTCCAAGTACTCGCGTGTGATCGAACAACGGCGTGCAGCCACACGAAGCACAGTGAAAGAAAGGGCAAATGAGACCCTGTTCCATTCCTAATTGATAAGGCATGCTCCCTTAGACGGTCATTTGTACAGCCCCCTGTCTGGCCAATATAGACCTTGCCACAGCTCAGGGGAATTTCATAAACAGTGCCCACAGCACAACGCAGGAACAGCTTTACGTGCTTCTTATCGCACACCACCTTGGCACCTCTCGAAGAAATGCGGGCACAGAGCCTTGAAAGCTTCTTTGGAGCAGAGAAAACCTCCGGCACATGGTGCCGATTTGCAACCTTTTTCAGGTTGTGGGAGATTTTGTGCATGTATGGTAGAACATGCGGTCTTTTCCTCTGTCCTTGCAATGGCTCTGGCCTCCTGCGTTCCCCCTTCAGCCTCTGCAGCAATGTTTCAGACACACTGACTAAGACCGAATAAGGAAACCCGGCTGCAGTGAGCCGCGATACCTGAATGGAAAAACTATCAAACACTGTGTGCTGGCATGACTTGAACAACGCAGAACTAAAGAAAACACATAGCAGCTATAGACCTCTTCACCACCTTAGAATGTGCAGAATCACAAGAAAGAAGTATTTTTCTCGTTCTAGGGCTGAACTTCCAACAGACATGACCCTCGCCCAGAGTCAGGTTAATATCTAAAAACTGCAAGCTTTCGTCAATGGGCAGTTCATACGTAAAAATCAAGCCTTTTCCATGTTGTCGAAAGAGGTTCAAAACCAAATCTACCTCGCTAGAGTGCGTTACAGTGTTAGTAGAAGCACCACGAGGAAATCGTCCACATATCTAAAAATCTTAGGGACTTTTCCTGGATCAATGACATTTTCTAAAGCACGATCAATAGACGCCAAAAAATTGCTACAAAGGAAGGACAGGTGCAATGGAGCAGCCAATACAAATGCCCTTTCGTTGAATAAACAACCCATTATTAAAAGAGACAAAGGCGCTACGAAGGTAAAATTCTAAAAGTGACATGAAGTTGGAAACAGATACGCCAGAGGTATTGATAAAACTTGTGCCGCCATGTTCCTCGATACAGTCCCTTACAAAAGATAAAAGTTCATTATGAGACACTGAATAAAAAAGATCCTCAACGTCAACGTGTGAACTGCCCATTGACGAAAGCTTGCAGTTTTTAGATATTAACCGGACTCTGGGCGAGGGTCATGTCTGTTGGAAGTTCAGCCCTAGAACGAGAAAAGGACTTCTTTTCTATGATTCTGCACATTCTAAGGTGGTGAAGAGGTCTATAGCTGCTATGTGTTTTCGTTCTGCGTTATTCAAGTCATGCCAGCACACAGTGTTTGATAGTTTTTCCATTCAGGTATCGCGGCTCACTGCAGCCAAGTTTCCTTATTCGGTCTTATTCAGTGTGTCTGAAACATTGCTGCAGAGGCTGAAGGGGGAACGCAGGAAGCCAGAGCCATTGCAAGGACAGAGGAAAAGACGGCATGTTGTACCATACATGCACAAAATCTCCCACAACCTGAGAAAGGTTGCAAATCGGCACCATGTGCCAGTGGTTTTCTCTGCTCCAAATAAGCTTTCAAGGCTCTGTGCCCGCATTTCTTCGAGAGGTGCCAAGGTGGTGTGCGATAAGAAGCACGTAAAGCTGTTCCTGCGTTGTGCTGTGGGCACTGTTTATGAAATTCCCCTGAGCTGTGGCAAGGTCTATATTGGCCAGACAGGGGGCTGTACAAATGACCGTCTAAGGAAGCACGCCTTATCAATTAGGAATGGAACAGGGTCTCATTTGCCCTTTCTTTCACTGTGCTTCGTGTGGCTGCACGCCGTTGTTCGATCACACGCGAGTACTTGGAAAGAGCCGAGAAGCGCTGGCGCGGGAGTTACTCGAAGCCTTTCACATAATGAAGAAAGGTGACTCGTGCGTCAGCGTGCCTTCAGTTGTGTTGCATAACAGTGAATTCCAACTGTTGGATCTAGATGTACTTTAGTTGGGTGCTACGAAGTGTCTGTCAGTCCTTTTTTTTGCTGGTTTTTCCTCGCATTTTTTTTTGTGCAGGCTTGGGTGTGTTTGGTTTTTTCTATGTATTTACATGAGGCATATCTGTTTGTTGCTGGTTCCCAGATATCATGATTGCATTCATCGGTTATTACATCATAAAAACCTGCACGTGCGGTGAATGAAATGGTCTGCGCATGTCCTCCAAGAGCCTATATATTGCGAATGCTTCATGAAAATAAAACTTAGTTGTGAGTTGGCGCTCTTTCTGTCTCGTCTTTTTTTTATCTTTTTTTCTCTTTGTCAACCTTGCGCCACGTATTTCAGCCTAATATGTGCCAACTAGCCCAACATATCGTACTGTAAAACAAGCAGATGGAGGAGAATTAAAATAGCTCATTACAAACTCGGCTCCTGTGTGAAGTAGGCACACAGAAAGGGGGCCCTGCCGTAAAGAAAGGCACACAGAAAAAAAGGCACACAGAAAGGGGCCCTGCCACAAATACAGAGGCCCATAAAGAAAGGACAGTCGTACCACAGATTTTTTTTGTCATTCAACAGAATGCTGGGAGTACCAGCTGATACATAGCTGACTATTCGGTTGATATGTGCCCCACAACTCATGATTTGGCTGCTGTGCTTGGCCTCTGACCACTGTCCATTCATTTATGTCCCCTTTAAATAAACCTGTTGGGTTTATTTAAAAAAGGTAGGGTAAAAAAAGGTTGGGTAAATTTGTTGAACTAAACTTGGAAGGCAAGAGTTGTAAATTTCCAGCATCACAAAATGCTGTTTGGATGCTTAGTAAGCACTGACAATTCCATGTGCCTCAGCTTGCAATGTGCTCATGACATTCACATGAGATACGTTGCAGTGCGAATAAATTCAGACTGAGGGCTCATATACCCTACAAGGTGGTGATGCAGCATGTTTTGCCGAAGAGCAAACCCAAGTGCTGAGGGTCATAGAAAGCAAACAACGAACACTGGCGTCTGCCTGTAAAAGTCTGTTGCAACATTTTATAGCTGAAATGTACAGCGTTGTTTATGCAGTGACTGTAAAGCAAGTTGTCCATTGGGAACATGTGTCACACTGCACACCTCAGCTAGGCTGTCTTCATTCTAAGTGTTGCCAAATTCAGGAATATTGGTACTTGCCGTTTTTTGTGTGTAAAGAATGGTATGATTGAGTGGAGACCGGATTTTAGGCAATTGCCTATTTTGTTTTGAATTGAATTGAATTGAATTTTTTTGGTCACACTTTTTACAAAAAAAATGTGCATACACTGCGTGGACCCATAGCCATAGGCTAGTTTGGGTCCAAAAAAGAAAGATTTTATAAAGGCACTTCGGAAAAGTGTAACTAAAAAAGTTATACAATATCAAAGAAATAACTAAAGTTTTTACAATCTAATGTAATAAAGAATCGGCAAAGAAACACCTTTTATTGTGCTCCTTTCACCCCTCTTTGAAATAGGAGCATGAATGAAAGGTTAAGAAGGACTTTCATAGTAGTGCCTGTAAATATCTATTTTGGCATTGTTTAAATTCCTATAAATGCCTTTTTTCACATCGATACCATATACTAAGGCCTATCTTGAAAATAGGTGCCTCTTTGTGAGCTATTTAGCCCTAAGTTTTGCCTTTGGGGGCAGTTTGAAATCTTTGTTCACATTACTGGGCAACATTGACTGTTTGTTGCTCTACCTAGCCCTTTTTTTGAACAGAAAGTAACTGCTAGCAGCAGTGCTCATTTCAGTAGAGCTCATTTCGCAGCGTTGGTGTCATTGGTTGTGAGCGAAAAATGATCATCTTTGCACGACCGAAAAATCAAGAAAGGTGCAAATGAAATAAGTAATAAAAATTCTGGATCAGAATAGGGATTGAACGGGGGTCGTTTGCGTGGCGAGCTGGTGTTCTACCACACTGCCAGTCTCTCTATTTTTCTTTTCAGGGTATTTAATAAAACATATATGTAATAAAGAGTTAATCAAAAAACAAAAGTACAATCACATGGCGACAATAAGCACTTAAGCATTGCTGATAAACACTCAATGGCTAACACAGCATGAGTTCTTCACATTGAGAGTTTTTCACATCGTGTGATGCAAACAAGAAAGGGGTGAGGTCAAACGGTTCTTCAAGATTGAGTACCAGTCCGATCTAAAGTCTAGCTCATCATAAATGTCTTTGAGGTGAATAGCCATTTGAATGAAATGTGTGCTTGAAGAGGTGGTAGGATTGCGGTCCTGCGTTCGTGTCTTCCACAAGCTGTGCATACCCATGAGGAAAAACTTATCATATGGCACTTCATCAAGTGATGCTGGTAGAAGATAGTGTGTGTTGTGAAAATTAATGACGAATCATTTTTTCAGTGCTTACTGAAGGATATCCCAAAACAGAATAGCATCTTTGCAGCTGGCAAAGCAATGCTCACTCGTTTCCAGCACATTACGTAGACAGCAGTTAACAGATGCAATAAAAATACCTTTTTTTTTTAACCATGTGTTTACCGCCAGTGTTTCAGGGTGGAGTTTATAGAAGAATGTTTTTGAATTCCGTAAAATGTACATTTTGCGCACTCCCTTCAACACGTTGTGGCCTGGAAGACCGGAGGACAATGAGCGGTACAAGAGAGGTGGGAAGAGCATACTTAGTAGATCCTTAAACTGTACATTGTGAGATACTGTGTACAGGTGTTCTATAAAAAAGCGAGCTTTAAGGACCTGAACTCGAGGTAATCTTCCTGTATCAATCCCCATAAACACAGGCGTTCGGAGGAGCAAAGATAGACACAGAGGCAGTTTGCTGTGACGATGTGGAAATGGCATCAATTGTTGAAGGGGGGCAGCGCTACCTCATGACTGCCCCAACGACTAATCTGTGTTCGAACCAGCTAGAAAGTGCCTGCAAAGGGACGGCAAGAGTGTGACACATGGCATTTTGTAGCATGTAGTATTCACCAAAAATCTGCATAGTCTTTATTTGTAGTTTGTGCTACTTGAATTGCGCCAACTTGTTGTGTTGGTTGGTGCTCTGCACGCAGATACCCTTACTCCGAGGAACTGGCGTCGTACACACCCAACGGGTACGCGTACGCCGCCACGGCCACTATTGCTTTTGAGATGAGCACCGACTACGTGGACAGCACCACGTTTGAGCAGCGCCAGCAACTGGACTCCACAGCAGACACCAATGGTCTCCTCTCGACCACCACGCCTGTAGCCGCTGTGCCGGCCTCTTCCCTCGCCTCGCATCTCGGTCAGTCTTCTTCTTCCGGGTTCGCGTGGTGGCGGCGCTTGTGGTGGTGGCTTCTCTCTTTGATTTCCATGCCGTGCCTCAACATTTCAGTTGCAATAGGGCACTCTGTTGCAGAGGCTTTATTCAATGTCTTTCCACTTGAGTTTGTGACAGCGTGTTTGTGGCTGACGGCCTCCTTTCATGATCTTTCTCATTGTTCACTCTTTTGTGAAGACAGATTAACTTGCCATTGAGTTCGTAAAAGTAAAGTAAACCAAATTTTTCTGTAGTGCCTATGGTCTGTGGCCAATGTTTAGGTTTGATAAGATTAAAATTCGGGCTGATTTTTTCAGTTTAATTGCTGTTAGGTCATCTTGAAGTGAAATTTGCCTAGCATTGTACACATTCTTGGTTCATTGGTGAGGATTGCCATCAAAGTGTCATCTTGAACAACAACAATTTCGCTTATGTGATTCATACACTAACAAAGACTGCATGCATGATTTCCGGAATGTCAGTTCGGTCTCAAGATAATAACACTGGCTGTCATTCGGTGGGCATGTCACCTCCTAGAAATATGAATACTGTGTGGACTAAGCCAGTACAGCAAAAACCTCTTCTCAAGGTTGTTGAAGCAGCTGATGTTATTTGCTGTATTCAACTCCTTAGTCTTCATAGAGTCGATTCTAATCTCTTGTGCACTGAACACAATAAGGAAGGTATGCGACCATTACTTCAGTGTTATGCCAACTGTTGCTACTGATTCACACACGCTAACCACTGTTTTTTACATCTGAGTGTAGAATTAAGAATCCAATAGAGGCATACGAAGCAAGTACAAGGTGACACAGTTTCTGTCAGTTGGTGAACATGCCCACCGGTGCTGTCAAGTTACTAACACAACATACTTAACCACACCACTGTGCGGGTTAGCTGAGTTTCTGTACTGGTGGTTTGTCAGTGTCCTATTTGGCTGCATGGCCTTGCAGAAGCACTAATGTTCGGTCATTGAGGTAACCACGGTGGCGGTCAAGCAGAAAAGTGATCATTGTTTTTGTCGTCGGCTAATTTCCTTGTGTCTCTTTTGCTTTCACACGGGGCCCCACAGAAGATTCAGATTTGAAATCGGCTTCCCAAGAAGGTTAGTTCATGAGCATCTCGACTGTTTTTCTTGCAGCAATACTTTTGCATTTTTCTGACCTTTCGTCGCTTCTCATGCACTGCTACTAGCCGCACTACGATAATTTACTGCTGTCCTTGAAAAGCAGATGCCAAGTCTTGTGCTGGGAATCCCAATAAAAGGGAATCCAAATGACATAGTGGTCTCGAAAACGTTTAAGCCAGCTGCATAGTTGCCGTTTGTTCAAGACTTGCCCTGTTGGCTTTACATTATGTAAATACAGGTTCCATGAGAACTGGGTGCGCTTCCATCTTGAACAAATAAACAGTGCGACAGGAAATAAGATGAGGAATGCTGTAATCTTTTGTTCCTCTTCTGTCGTGCTGCTTATGTGTCCAAGTTTGCTTGTCTCTCTTAGCATGACAAAAAACACACCGCAAAGGACACAAGAAGTTGCTGTTTTATCTTGTTCATCTTAGTAACTTTTTTTTCTCATGCGATTCTTACGCTTGAGCTAAAGAAAGCATCTTGGCTAATTTTTGCAAGCAAGGTGCACTTATCATAGTGGAATAACTATTGAAACTTTTGTAAAATTGCACTTTCTCTGGCAGGGATCAAACCATGTTGAGTGATATAATTTTGCCCCTCCACTCTCTTCCCAATTCTACTGATAGATGTTGTCTCTTTGTTCCTGCTTTGACAGTTCAAGTGCAGTTGCGTTTTGTGCAGTCAACTTGATGCGTTTATTTACTCTCTCTTTTGTGCTCACATGGCTGCTGCTGTGAAAGGACTGAGAGGTGATGCTGTCCATTCTTTCGTTTGTGTTAGCTTCACTTGTGTCGCCCTGTGCTCTTGCTACTACACTGCTCAGAATTTCAGCAGACGGCTTGCTTGCATATGTGCAAGGAGATTTAACGCAACCTTAGACGCCCTCAGTAAACGAAACCCCATGACACTCCATTATGTTGAATTTTCAGGGATGGAAGTGCTGCTCCAATTGCTCCAAACTGCTCCAACTGAGAAATGTTGCTCCATGCTGCTCTAAAGTGCAATATTTGCTAGTAACTGCTCCAAACCTACTTCGAAATGGTGTTGGCAAATTTAAAAGAATGAAGTTGAACCATGGAACCATCCCGTGAGCATAAGCGAAACCAAAAGCAAGCTGTATACGCACTATCATCCTAGTATGCATTGCAGTGGCATAAAACCAGAAAAATCACAAGGGGTGACACATAACAGGCCATGGTGGCCAATTCGTATTTTTATTATGGGTTGTATTTTTATTTATGTAAGAAATAAATAATGCTTTCAAATGGAATTTTAAAAAACAAGCATGGTGACTGAGCTTGAGCAATTGTTCTATTCAGTCTCTTTTTTTTTTCACCTTTTGCAATTTACATAGTTCACACTGCTGAGGGGCACGCAACAGAGGTACGCAGTGAAAGATAAAGAGCCTTTTAAAATGTTGATTGTGCTATACTTAACTGTTAGCTCATTTATATCACATGCTCAAGCTAAATTTCAAGGGGAACACTTGCAAAGGCTGTCCTCCCCAGCCTGAACACAGAATATTCCGAACTCCTTTGACCCTAAGCCGCACCCATGATTTACACCAGTGATGCTACTATAGACGGCTTCAGGGTCTCAAGCATTGTACCCAAAAAAACTTCCGGTCGCCTCATTTACCAGCTCCTAACATCAAAACTGAAAGCACGTTTTGAAAGCGTAAGGAAACTACGTCTTTTGTTTTTCACATAAAGGAAACGTGCGTAAAGTACGAAGGAATGTTTCATAATTTTTATGTAGCTAAAAACAACATTTATTTAAATATATTTTGCCAAACAAGGGAAAAGAAACTGTAGAAAATCAGCGGGCTATTTTCTAAAGCTCTTGTGATTCACCAATGTTTTTAAAGCACATCGGTGGACAAAACCGGAAGTCATCAAGGGGCTGTGCTTGTAAACCTTGGAAGGGTCTATACAGCATGTATACTAGCTGAATACTAGCATAAGGCATGTTTAATAATAAATACAAATATTTATTTGATGCTTCAGTGATATTTCAGACTGCAGGAGTCATTAGGAACATGCGTCTGCTCTGAAAATGCCAATGGCAATCCTAAGCTATAGCATTTTTTTCTGCTCCGAAGACACTTAAGCCCGCTGTCTAGCACCATTTTTCCTGCTCTATAATCTGCTCCAAAAAGCAAAAATGTCGCTTCTGTCATTGAATTGTGCTTGTGATAGGGGTCGCAAGTTGGGTCATTCTACTTGGGTATGAATTCATTGATTGATTGATATGTGGGGTTTAACGTCCCAAAACCACTATATTATTATGAGAGACGCCGTAGTGGAGGGCTCTGGAAATTTCGACCACCTGGGGTTCTTCAACGTGCACCCAAATATGAGCACACGGGCCTACCATATTTCCGCCTCCATCGGAAATGCAGCCGCTGCAGCCGGGATTCGATCCCGCGACCTGCGGGTCAGCAGCCGAGTACCTTAGCCACTAGACTACCATGGCGGGGGGGTACTTGGGTATGAAACGAGTGCAAGTGAGCTGACCAAAAGGGGCCTATCATGTAAGCTGGTTTTGTATGCTAACAAATCTTCTAAGTGCACTGCTGACACCATTTATTTAGGCAGCGCTGGTGATGATTAAAAATGATGCAGCAAGGCTCATAATCGAACACTTATCCAATAATTATCACACACTAATCATTCTCAAAGCAGAGATGTTGTGAATACTCCACTTCAATTGCCATGTGGTGAATGAGTGTCTCACTGCATGGACTATATGAAGGAGCTGATCTGAATACACAGGCCCTCACATTAAGTGTTGTAATAATTAACTATCTTATATGTGTGTGATTAAATCTTGAAAACATTATGCAGTCAGCAGTGCTTTGCAGCTATTGTAAAATAATCACATGCCCAAAGCCTTCCATCTGCTTCATTTCTCTCGTTGAATTTTTGTGGGTGCGGATCAGTGAAACTACTGGGTGCACTTATGCTGACTACTGTGAAAAACAAAACAAGAAAAAAACAAAGTAACAGACGAAGAAAAACAAAATTGTCATTTGCGCTGTCCTGTTGCTCAATTTTTTTTGTTAAGTGCTGTATGTGAAGTCTCACACATTGAACGAGCGTAAAGTTATTGGCATTACATTATTCCTAAATGGTCTATATATGCACTTAATGTATTGTTAGAAGCATTCCACTCATATCAGCAGCAAAACATGCAGCTGGTACTTCATAAATGGCCATAAATCAGTAATAGAGTGTGTAAAGGTTGGTACCAATCTAAATGATGAGTTTAGACAGCCTTTGTTTTATGTAGAAGCCACTGCACATTAATTGTGATTCCGATAAAAGCACTGAGCTACCTTGTGCAGTCTTGCATAAATGCTGTGCAACGCTACGAAGACACATCATAAGTTCTTCGTTCAAAAGTGCTTTTAGGTGATTCTGTTTTTTATGTAAAAAGCAAACTAGGGGGTTGGGGTGCTCTTGCTACATTTTTGTTTCATCCCAACAGTGCAACGTAACATGTGTTTGCACACAACAGCGTTTTAGGTGGTTTCCTTTGTAGAAGCAGTCCTTGAGATGTGTAAACTGGCGTATATTTCTTGTACTGTTCAAGAAATGAACTTTTGTTGGAATATGGCAAACTGAACTTCAAAACAATAATATTGTGGTTTTGAACAGGCCTCACAACTCCTGGAGCGTATAACCCTTAAGTCTTCACTTAGTTTTATATTTATTAATTTTTGTTGTGGTTTTATTCATTTGCACGCAATATTCTCTCATTCTGTGTCAGAATGGAAAGTGCCACCAAGACATGTGGTGATGCTGAACCAGTGCATGATTCAGCAGCAGCAGGCACTTTCCGAGCAAAGAAAAAAAATAGCACCATTAGCATTGAAGTGGAGGTGCCACAAATTATGAAATGTCTTTGCACGTTGAAGGTGTAACAAAAGGATTGAAACGAACTTGGTGGAAAGAATTTTTTGAGGTGGCTAACAATTAGAAGCAAACTTGAAGAGTGCTCCTTTGTCCAGTGCCCCAGCAATGACCCATGTATCTCTGGTGTGTGTCTTTCAGTTTCTTTTTATTATACGCACGATGTTCACCTACCACAGAACCGTGGCAGTCACTGACATTGCCACATTACGATAGGCACACATTAATCAAGCCAAGTCACTGCTTAGTGGCCACTTGCTGAATCACACTTAGTGTGCACCTGCCTAGTGTGCTAGCCACAATGTTTTCACACGTTTGTGTACTCAAACAGCAGTTTGCTGCTTTGTGTCTGCACAGTCTTGTAGATTGTACTATAGCACAACTGTTCGGTGGGACACACACAACAAAGAGCTTTCTTGTGTTTTGTTAGTTGCACTGTACAACCGACAGTCGTGCTAATTGTCAACATGCCCATATCTTCGATTCTTGTACACATCTTACCATGCAGAGAAGCATTTGGCCTTGCTAGCGGTTGACACTCTGTGATAAAATCAGTGAGCACACATGTCACGAGCGCTGTGTGGGATCACAGTACCCTCCTTGCTAAAATCAGTCTAGTGTTATGCCACTCTTGGGTTTAAGCACATAAGCGCTGTGCATTTGCATTGTCCAGCACCATTTACTTTTGTTAGCGACACCATCTCAAGAAATCTTGATTTTGTAGTCTTACCACAGCTGCAAAGGATACTCAGCAGTAGGCAAAGAAACAATAACAAAGTCACACAATTTTATAGTGGCACAGTTGTGTGTATAATTACGTGACCCTCGTTTAGCTATTACACGATGGGCTAGCTATTATTAGGATGTTTTATTATACAATCTTTTACCCTGCTCCCTGTGGTTTATTTCGGCACTCTTTTTTGGAAAGAAGATGTAGGGATGAAGGCTAGAGTACAGGGATGAAGATGTAGGGATGAAGGCTAGAGTACAGTAGGCAGGGATGAAGGCTAGAGTAGTTAGGAGAAGTGTGGGAATGTTTGGGGGGTGGTACTTATCCCTGCCTTGTTCCTGCTCAGCGAATTAGTTTTCACAAATGAAGTCAGATTGCTTCTTCATTTCTCCACCAAATAGATGAGGAACGGAATACAGTTACACACAATTGAGGATGATGGATAAAACTGAGTTTTCAGAGGCTAGTGTAACTTGTGGCAAAATTTATATGCCATCGTACTCAAATAATGCATGCATGAAAGATGTTTAAAATTAACCTAAATGATGTACCTAACAATCATATCATATTTTTCGCACCTAAAACTCAAGATTTTTTTTTACAACTAGAGTGCAGTTGTGTGAGCATATTGTCGCGGGTTATATGATTAAACGTGGCAATATTATTAAATGACAAAAGGTAGCCAACTTATTTTCAATGAAGTGAACATGATAGTCCTGTGTTCGTGTTCTTAAACACAATTTTTCTTCGTTGCACCATAGTCATGCATATAATTAACAGAAGAAAGTTCTGTGCCAAACTGTTGCATCTTTATTGTCATCGTAATATAAAAGCAAGCATGTGTGAAACATCTTTACAGCTCTAAAGTGCTGTCAGCCTAAGTAGTTTGACTAGCTAAACTTTTTAACTGTCTCATCCTCCACAAATCGAAAAAGAAAGAAATGCACATATATATTCAAGTGAACCAGGAAAAAGGCCATGCAAAATCCTTGGTGCGGTGTTCGGCAAAAGTTTTGGAACATCGTGCGACATCTCCTTAACTCATCTGATTAGCCACTGGTTGATGTGAAAGAGCTCGCTCTCATCGAAGTGCTTTTCGCACACCTGCAGGGGATTAAATGTGAAACTACCAGTTTTTTGTTGCAGACCCGTCGTTTGCTTTCTAGGCAACATGCAATTTGTTGTCATTTTCTTTGTTACCAGATCAACACCCAGGCACGCAGCATACACGGCATCCTTTTCAATCTTCATTCACAGCACGCTTAACACCAAACATATTGGCACGAAGTAGTGTGCTAGCCATGACGTTTTCGCACGTCCGTGAACTTTAGGCACATTCTGAAGGCATCAATTCTGCCAGAGCTAGATCTTCGCTAAGAATGAAGAAAACAAGTGTAAATTTAAGGGTTCATTTTCTTTGTTAGACACAAAACAGACAGACTGGATTTGATGCCTTCAGGTAGTATGCAAGGGATTATTTGTCAGCTGCTAACTCATGATAAGATTATGACATGTCACGTGATGCCAACTGGCAAAGTGTTCCACACTCGCCACAATGGCAACATGCGCGCTGACTGACACTTGCACAGAGGGATCACCACGACTGTAGCTCAGTGGAAAAGAATCGGATGTGTTATTCGAAGGTCGCAGGTATGGATCCTGCTGGTGGCAAGATATCTTTTTATCCACTTTTCTTTCCTCACGTTTACATTACAGTTACTTGTAATAACACCCCTTGGCATCATTGTCTGTCACTTCTCATCGTCTTAAAGGAGGCATTCTGCTCGGGCTGATGTGTTGTTTGTGGCGTGGTACGCAGATCTGCTCGCGAAGACTGTATCGGACGCGCACAACCGCACCTGCCTCTACAGTACGGAACAGATACAGGAGCTGATGAGAAAGCCACTAGACATCTCTCGAGTCATGCTCTACAAAAATATGGTGGGTGACATTTGAAAAGCAAGTAGTACTATACTGAGACAGCACACGATACGACAGTCGCCACAACATCCTCTTTCACATTTGTCAACAAGTTTGTTGTTTTACACTGAGTGACAGCTGCACAAACAGAGATGGAAACCATTTGAACATGCCTGGAACCAACGTTTGAACCATTGTTCTCATTTACTTCAAGATAGTGCATTGGTGAGAACTGTTCAGAGACAACCGGTGTTGAAGAATTTCTCCTCTCTTGTCCTGGACTCCTGCCTTGACTTTATTATCAGCAGGCAATGAGCTACCATGCTTACTATTGTTTCATTGTCTCACGCGACTTTGCAGCATACTTAGCTTCCCACTGGTAGGTTATTCTACAGCTTCTACGTTATGTGCTTGGGATGCACTATCTCGGGCTGCTTTTGCTTTCAGCACTTGTCCACACTTTTGGAAAATGTCAACTCGATGACCTGCATTCAGTGATGCACTGCTCAAAGAAATTAAAAACTAGTACAGTGAAAACCCTTTACAGGAAACAGAAAGCGATTTTTGTCTCAGGTGTCTCTCATAAGCAGGATGCAATGTCTTACCAAACCCTGTTTTAATGTAGCTCACACTGGTGTCTTTTACACCCATATCTGTTAGGTCAGTGTCTCTTATAAAGGGGTTTGATTGTATTTACGCTGCTACAAAACGAGACCAGACCAACATATGTGTGGTTGCGGTCATATAGGACCTTACAAAAGTCAGTTCATGCAGGCTCCTGCCTGACAATGCTTGGTGGCACTATAAAAGGGGAAATTACATCAAATTTGATTAGAAACTGTCAAGAGCCATTGATCAATAGAACATGTATTGCGCATGTCGTATTTTGCAATGAACTTTGTTATCAGATACTTACTATATGCCAAATCAGTAGGAAGTCAGTGCCACATGCAAGCCCAATCTGCTTCAATGGTGAAGCTGTTTAAGCTAGCCTATAAAGAAATGAGACAAGTACTATGTACGCCTCTGCAGCCTATCAGAAAACTATCATCATAAACGGGTGCTTGCAGCAGAAATGAGGTAAGTCTCACTACTCTTCTACTAAAAATGAAGAAAGCAACAGCTAGCCCAACAAATAGTTTCAAAGCGATAGCAGCGAGCCAAAGACCCTGAGTATGTTAGGAAAGGCAACGAAGTCTTCGGAGTTCGAACATCTTTCTGTGACTCTCTGTTGTTCTAGCTTGAACCTCTCTGCACTGACTAAAGAATCAATGTAGGAAAACCCCCAGCGAAGGCCCGGAAACAAACCAGATCTTCAGAGTTGTGAAGCTTTGCTCTTTCAAGTATTGCATGATTTAGTGCAAGCTTCGCCAATTTTTTCCTCGCTTTTTTTGCCTCTCTTGCTTATTGCCGCTCTTAGGTGAACACAGCTAATAGCCGATGGTGGGGATGCAGTGGTGGGTGATGTCTCTGTAGCAGTCTATGTAGCAGCATGCTTTGTGCTCAGACATTAATATGCCTCATTTTGTGGAATCTCGAAATGGCTGCTCATTGATGCAGTTCACATGAACAACAAACATGTGATTTGTTGAGAGCTTTCATATAATGGCGAGTTTGCCAGCCAAATCTTGCGGTAACCATGGCATATAACCCATTGTAAGGCCAATTAAACTACACACAGGCAACCTATAGCACACAGGGTATATTGGGAATGTGGTGCCGCCATAGAGTTTCATACCATAACACCTAGAGAAAAATCTGGCCCTGCGATCGTGTATCCCCATGGAAATTATGCGAAGCACAGGCTTCAGAGTGAATAGCGTTAGCTAGCAAACTTTCTACAAATCGTTTTCTATGATTTCAGTTTCGTTCTTCATGCAGCATTGGTAGTGGGGTGTGGTGAAAGCGCTGAAGCACTGCCTTTGTTGTTTGAAGAAGCTGAAAACCACTAGGACTCTTTATTTGCTGCAATGCTGAAGCTTTACGAGTCGCATTTGACAGTTTAAACGAACCGTCGTCCAGTCACTGCTGTGCATAGATGTAGCGTCTCATGCCAATGCAGGTTGTTGTATCAAGTTCATGTTTTTTCATGAGCGCGTCTTGCCTAAACTCATTTGAATCGACTGCAAAGTGACGACGAAGCTAAGCAGAAGCACTGGCATGCTTCTCTGACCCATTTTCAGAACAAAACGAGAGGTGCTATGGGGGCAGAGGACTTGGACAGACGTATCTAGCATAACAGAAGACGTTGAGTGTTTCTCACTTTGTACTCTACTGTTATATACATAAATAAAAAATGCATACTTTCAAGCGAAAAAAAGCATGTTTGCTGTCAAGTGCAGGAAAAATATTTTATGATATCTTGATGCAAATCTGGAACGCAGAGGCAGAGCGAGGAACACCCTGGTGGTTAAATTTGTTTAGGTTTAACTTCTATTGCATAGTCACAAAAACCTTTTGCAATAAAGTTTGCATACAACAAAATGTTTCAATTAGACATGCCTTCATATCCCTTTGTTTTATACTTGGCATAGAAGTGTTGCGAATCTCAAGACTGTAATCCGTCCGAAGCAGATCTGAAGTTATAATCCCCATGGGGGTACACGCGCCGCTGAAAGAGCCTGCGTAGACAGTAGCGTCAGATTCCCCTCTAGGTATTATGGGCATCGCCAACATCGTCTCTACGGACCTCCTGTGAAAGACGACCATTCACAGCAGTTCCAAGCCCCAAAAGCTCCTGATACGACCACACTGAACTCCCTCCCGCCGTTTGGTGCCACTGATGCCACCGTGCAACTAAGTGCCAACTGTTGCTTGGCAGAAATTAGGCCATGACGCACAGGCATCATAAGGCAAAAACAACTTTTCAGTGGGTGATTGCATCTCACAATCTTAGTTATTATGTTTATGGCGGTATAATAAGACTACGAGAAGCCATTTTACAGAAGATATAGTCCGCCATATACAGAAAATATTAAATTAAAGGAAGATGCAAGGCGAAAAATGAAAATTTCAGTAAAACTTGAAGTAGGTTAGAATTGCTTTTAAAGAGCACAATTAGGCTACTAAAAAGAGCTTATTGTCTCCTGCGAATGGTCGCCTGGCTGCATGAGGAGACTGATGCTCAAAATAACCACTATTGCAAAGATCTCATGGTCACCTTCAAAAACATACCTTTTCCGCATAGATGAGACTTCACTTATCCTTTAAAATGAGTTTTCTCAAGATCAAATTTTGACCAACTTCCTGTGTTTAGACATAATTTTTTTTGGAACTACAGATAGTCCGATCAAGATGTGAAGAGTGCAAGCATTTTCTTTAAAACTTGATACCACCTGTAATAACTATTACGAATTTAAAGTAAGCAATTAGTATGAGCTTAGGACTCCAAAAACTTTGACAACACATTTTTTCTTGTCGATTAAAATGTTTTATGAGGACTTTTCGATAGTTATTTATATTCTACAGTTAATAAAGATCAATATAAGCAAATATAGTGGCATAAAAAATTTGTCCAAAACAAACTACATTCCACATTGTCATGGCTTACAATAAAACTAGTTAGTAGACTTGTGCAAATATTTAAATGATTCGAATATTCTAACAAATAGTGGGGTATTCAAATTCGCTTCAATTCGAATTTAAATTATTGAAAATTTCGAAGTATTCACGAGGTAGAATAAATGCATAATATTACGAATGTAGTTTGTAAAGGTGGTTTCACTGCAGTGTAGGAATGCAAAACCGTGAAAGCACTCATCCAGAAGAAATCTGCTTTGCTGCCAAGCCCCCCTCCAAATTTAAAGGGGCCCTGCAACACTTTTTGAGCGGACGATAGTTATAGCGAGAGAACAAAATGACGACGCAGAGATAAGAAGGACATGAAGGACTTGAGCTCTTTTTGAGCATTGTCAGAAAATGCTGTCGATCTGTAGTTGAGGTTAACAAGGACACAGAAGCCAAATATTATAGCGCAGCACGTGGTGTGCGATTCACAATAAATTCTCAAAACCAGCTGAAAATTGCTCTGTTCTCTCGGCGAATCACTCCACAAGCTCAGAAAGCACGCGTGACGTATTTTCTTTCCCCATGCCATCCCTCCCTGCTTAGCTTCTAGCGCTTTCTTCAGGACGAGAAGAGAGAATGCACTTGCAGTGTGCGAGAAATCTTTGCAACTCCATGCGTACTGGACAGATTTTAAAAATTTTTGCAGTGGTGAATTCATGAGGCAATAAGCTTCTTTAGTGAATTCATTATAGCTACTTGAAGGTCGGACGGCCCCTTCAAGTGAAAATATTACCCTAAAATCAATTCATTTTATTAAGCTTAAAAGCTTGTCATGAAGGCTTATATGCTCTAAGTATAATAAATTTGTAAATGTTATGTGTTTTAAGGGTCATGACTCGCATCTTGTTTGACAGTCAAATTCTGCTTCTACTCAAAGCTGTTTCGACTTACTTTGATCAAAAAAAGAAATTGAATTTGCATAGAGGCCCTAATTCAATTAAAAAAAACATTGTGCAGGTTGCTTAGGTTATGATAAGTATGCCCATTTTTCTTTATATTTTATACATACTATTTGATTTCGACGGGAAATTATTCAACCAAAATCACTATTCACTTTGAATTCGCTTTGAACTTAAAATTCACTTTTCGCACAAGCCTATTAGTTACATATTTGAAATCCGCACAAAAGCCTATATATACCACAAGAGTTTCAATGCTTTAGGCTACAGATTAACGAAACTTTTTTTGTAGCTGCATCTCCCCTTAACGATAGTCTTAACGATAGTGATAATGTCATAAGGAAATGTTTATAAATTAAAATAAGATGGAATAACATAGGAATAAATTTTAGTGATTTGACTATGCACTGCTGTAATTTGTAAATAACGGTACGTATTTGGTGGTCCGTAACACATGTTTTCTCACGTTCACCGAAGTGATGATGGTGGATTGTACTGACGCTGTTGCTCCTTGTCATAGGCACACGAAGAGCTGTGGCTTGACTGTGCTCAGAAGCTGACACAGATAATCCAGCAGATCATCGAGTTTGCCAAGATGGTACCGGGCTTCATGAAACTTTCCCAGGACGACCAGATCGTTCTTCTGAAAGCAGGTATTCCTCTCCCACCCAAGCAGTAATTGCTTCATTACAGTCATTCCGAACAGCACACAGGCCCTCATCAGGCACTCGTAGGGTCTCATCGGTGGTGTGCATACTGACCATATTGCTTCATTACGAATGTATCCACACCTGGATACAAGATGTGCAGAATACAAACACACTAAGTTGTGTCATACTAGCTGTAATGATTGTACATGTATGAACAAGGTCATGTTGTCAGACTGAAAGCATGTTTCTGTGTTTATATCGAACTGTGAATACCAGTATCACTATACTTATCTTAAAAGTAATGTAGCCTGTGTCATTCTCTCGTTCAATAATGGCAACTTTTTGCATTTCGCTGCGATATCCAGAAAATGATATGGTGACCCAAGTCATTGTGTTTGTTAGCTATTTTGCATGCAGCCTGTATTTGAGTGAGTCATTTTTATTAGTCAGTTGCTGTGGTCATTTCCTTCCTTCATTCCTCTCCGTCAATTCTTTTAAACTAACTTTCATGTCTGTGCTGATCCACACAAATAACACCAAAGGGCAATTCCGCATATGAAAATTCTTTGTGGGAAGTGCATTGGTGCTGAGTAACAGCTCTGTGGGTGACCTGTTTCACTTTCAATCTCATCACACTCGGCACTTAAGGAGTTGTGCTCTGGACAGTTCGTTCAAAGCAGTGAAATTGTTCTATACTCATTAAAAGTATGAAATTATTTTCTTTCAAATTTTGAAATCATTCATGCATGTGGTCACCTTAATGGAATTCTCATGACATGAAAACCGTGCAGGAAAATGAGAGCACTTGGCATTGGCTAACAGCATAACATTTAAAACACAAGCATGTATATGCTTCTTTTAAGAGACAAATTACACGAGAGGTGGGAAAGCCTCTTTTTAAGTGGGCTTTCTAAAAAAGCGTACCTATAATCATGTTGTTAGCCTATATCGAATCCTGTATGCCTTTCTTGTCTCGTTTGGCCGCACTGTTTTCTGTTATAGAAGCCATGCCATCATTGACCTAATTTGACATTGTGTCTTATCTATTCACTACGAGGCCATTGAACAGCTGCATTGCTTGTTTAAAGGGACACTAAAGTGAAATAACAATTTATGCCTGAGTGAAAGCTCAGTATATGACGTCTAAAACAACATTATTATCAACAGCAGTGCCCTACTCAAGAACACATGTGCTACGATAGGTCATTTGCGAATGATCCCGATTACGTCAGATGTACCGCCTACAATTAATCACTAGTAATCGAACTAGCTGCACTAAATAAAGAACCTTTCGTGCATCAAGAGACGCAATAAAATACTGCTTGTTTATTTCTGCTTGATTTGTGGAAACCGCCGAGCGCCTCTATGGGGAATGACGCGAGTGGTTCAAAAGTTCAATTTTCGCCTGGTTAAACTGGACAGGCCGTGCCATCTAGTGGGGCCCAGTTGAATGAAAACATGTCTGCCACCTCAGAGCCAATGGCAGGAAACTGCTCAATGGCCGTTGTTGCTGCTGTGGCTCTCACTGCTTTCGCTGGGCTGCTACTAGTGTCGGTGGCCGCGCAGTAACCACCGGAAACGTGCATGGCAACAGTGACGTGACACGTTCTGCTTGAGGTGGGTATTTTTATGTGTGCTAACCCGATGAGGGCCACTGAAACGTGATTTTATTTCTAAATAAACACTTCCTTGACACAAAATAACACTACAAGGTTTCTGGACCGCTATTCCAACAATCAATTTTGAGATGCCTTCAGTGTCACTTTAATGAAATCTATTATAAACCCCCATGACCCTACTTAGCATGCACCGCATGTTGGTTCGTTCATGTGGAGGGCCCCGTAATTCCTTGCTTGCAAATGTTGCGTGAAACTCTTGTGTTGGTGCTTTTTTTTCCCGCACACATATTTTGCTTGAGGCGCTTTCTGCACCAAGATACGCTGTTGGAGACTGCGCAACTCTTATGGAGGAATCGAAGCAAGGAGATGATGTGCAGCGAGGGTGATTGGCTAAGAAAGCCACTACTGTCTTTGTTGCAGGGAGTTTTGAGTTGTGCATACTGAGGATGAGCAGGTACTTTGACGTGGCAACAGGATCGGTGCTCTACAATGACAGTCTGCTTCCGATGGATGCTTTTATCACGCAAGGTGAGCAGATTCAATCAATCAAGCAATCAATTATAAATGTTTATTGTCAATGTAATAGTCACTCCAGGTGACAAGTGGCTTGCATACTTGGGTGAGTGTGAATGCCAGTGATGTCCATGAATCATTTGATATTATAAGCTTGCTCAATAAAGCAGGAACATTGATATATGTCTTCTTTGAAAGTACTATTGCCAACAGTAATTTGTGGTACAAATACTAAAAATAAACCTACGTTTGAACATTCTCATTGGGGCTCTAGCCTAATTATTTACATTGTACCTTGGTACTGTCTGATCTGGTAAAAGGTTATATTTTATATATATATATATATATATATATATATATATATATATATATATATATATTAGACGTAAAGGTGGTACTTCTGGCACCCATGGCTTTTTTTTTTATTGACGTTACACAAGGAGATGTTGGCACACAAATACAGCACTGATTGCTGCTCAGCTTTTAGAGGAGTCATATATATAAAATACAAGGTCCAGAATATGCACATCAAACAGCATTTTCACTGTAACCCCATGGCACAACATAACAAATATAGAGCAAATGCAATACACAACATGAATTGCATCTTGACACATCAATACTGTAACATCTTGAGCAGGTAGCACGTATGTCATGTACGTGAATTATTACATTAAACACTAAGTAAAGACAACAAATACATTAGGCAAATGCAGAGTATTTCTTTGCATAGTGCAGGCAATTTGAGTATCGATCTATCTATCTATCTGTTTGTGTCTACATCTAGGAGCTCTTGTGCTTCTCCTCTTAGCTTGGGGTGAACCAAAATTAGTATGGGAAGGTAATATGACTTGTTGGTCATGATATGACCAACGAGTCATGATATGACCAACAAGTCATGATATGACCAACGAGTTATATTACCCGGGCACGACCAGTTCCGAGCGAGTGTTGGCTGGTTGGGCCGCTTTAAAGCCTGGCATGACATCGTGGCCAAGGCGATTTCCGGAGAAGCCGCAAGCGTTGACCTGGTAACAACTTCGTCGTGGCTGCTGACCAACAAAGAAGTACTCGACCAGTACGAGCCCTGCGAAGTATACAACGCGGGCGAGACGAGGCTGTTCTTTCGAATGCTCCCGTCGAAGACCCTGGACTTGAAAGGCTAGACATGCCACGGGGGCAAGCACAGCAAGGAACCCGTTACCATTTTGTTGTGCTGCAATATGGACGGCACAGACAAGCAGCCACTCCTAGTCATCGGCAGGAGCGAGAAGCCCCGCTGCTTCAAAGGAAACCGCCACTCGCTGCCCGTTCAGTACACCGCAAACAAGAAGGCGTGGATGTCTCGGGCTCTTTTTTTAAGCTGGGTCAAGGCGTTCGATGCTGACATGCACAAGGCAGGCAGGTCGGTGGCCATTTTTTTTAGACAACTGTAGCGCCCGCCACATCGACGAGACAGAGCTCATGAACGTGCGCTTGGTTTTTTTCCCACCGAACTGCACCCACCGTTCTGCAGTCGCTCGACCAAGGCGTAATTCGAAGCGTCAAGTGCGCCTACAGGGAGAGGTTGATCCAGCATCTGCTACTCAACCTCCGCCACAAGCGTCCCATCGACGTCAACTTGTGCATGGCTTTCGAGATGGTGGCCGCCGCATGAGTTGCAACATCCCTGTCGCTGATTGAGAACTGCTTCAAGCACGCGGGCTTCATCACCATGCAAGCATCACGCACGGATTGTGCCTCGGCCTCACCAGACGAAGATTTGGACGAAGGCGCACCGGACGGCGAGAGTGGTGGCAGTGCAGTGCCTCTATTCCTGACCAACGCCTGGAGGGAACTTCGAGCCATTGACATCGACATCTCAGATGAAGTCACTGTTGATGTATTCGTTCGCGCCGTATATGACAAAGTCGTATACGAGGAAGTGACCAACAAGGCCATTATCGAAAGCGTGTGCGAAGCTGAGGACACCGAGGACCAAGAAGAGATGCACGCAGAGAAACCCAACCCGCAGGCTGTTTTGGATGCGCTGGACACCCTTCGCTCCTTCTTCGGCGTATATGAGATGACGACGTAGCAACGGACCACTTTTTCCAGTGCGAAGGGAGAGCTTTGAAGTTGTTGCATGGCAAGGGTCGGCAGAGTAAGTTGACTGACTTCTGGCAATAAATTTTCATTCTGCTGGCCGTATCACTGTTCTTATGTCTCATACTCGCGGCAACGAAATTCTCGCGAATACGAAATTTTTCGGTTTCCCCGTCGATTTCGTTATTGCGGGTTTCGACTGTAGATTACTTGCATCAGTGTTGTGCAACTGTCGAAATGTGAGGCTGTCGGTAAACGGCAAAGACCTTGTTGAAAGCTGTGCATGCCAAGAAAGTGTCTTTTGTGTTGCAGAGAATGTCGTCATGTTTGCAAGATGTAGCGTCTGCGTTCCATTGATTTTCTCTGGCACTGTTGCTACAACATTTGATGCAACAGTGGAACCCATTCACTCGGCCTGTGTCAAGAAGAATGTTTTGGTGCCGCAATGCCTAGTGTCGGTAGTTGAGGCATGTTCTGGATTATGGATGATGAATTACACACCATAGCCTCTACCTTCTGGTATAAAGCTCGCGCTGTTTAGTGAAGAGGCACCGGCTTTACTGGCTGTACTCGAAGCTGCTGCCGATGAGCTTCTCTGTCTCTGTCCTTTGGACGTGAAACTACTTCCGATGGTGAGCAAGGCAATGAGCAGCAGCGAGCATCACATGCTGTCGGGAATTTTATCCAAGCACTCGCAAGTGTTCAACTTCTCCTTAAACGATAAAATGTTCACGATTCCGACCTCTAGAGTATGACATGGTATCAATACAAGGTCAGCGCATCCTATACCACAGAAGCCAGCAAAACACAACGTATCACCAGCATAACACAAGATAATTGGCGAGCAAGTCGAAGAAATGTTGCAGAAGGTAGTGATTCAGGAGTCCGCGAGCCCTTGGGCTGCGCCTGTCCTTCACATCAAAAAGAAAGATGGCAGTTGGCAATTTTGTGTAGATTACCGACAACTGAACAGCATTGCTAAGAAAAATGTGTACCCACTATAGCGCATATAGACGACGCTTTAGACAGTCTTCACTTGGCCTTTTAATTTCCTTCTGTTGACCTGAGATCTGGTTGTTGGCAAATACCAATGCATAGTGAAGACAGAAAAAACAGCATTCGCAATACTCACTATAAATTTAATGTTATGCCATTCGGCATGTGCAATGCACCTGTCACCTTCGAACGATTCATGAACACTGTTTTGTGCGGTTTAAAACGGGAGATATGCATGTGCTATCTCAACGATATTATTGTCTTTTGGTTCACTTTTGAGGAGCACAATGTGTGTCTTGACACCATCCTCAGCTGTATTCAGAACACTTGTCTCAGCAAGGAGTAGCGTTGCTTTGTACCGGTGCACTTTCGTCACTCTTTTTCTTCACCAGCCACGTGAAAGCTCAATGTATTTTCTTCTTTTGATGCGCTGAAGCGGTTGTGCTTCCGAAAATCGAATTATCGGACGAAAATGGGTCGACACACTCTGTTTGGCTGCGACAGTAACTACCGAAAGCGCAAAAGGCCGACATACGTGAGTTGCACCTTTCTTAGCTCTTCTTCTCCAACAAATATATTAATATATGTGGGGTCTGTCCTTGGGACCGCTTCTTCACTACACCAGCTTGTGATTCTGCTGGTACACCTCATCGTCTGCAGCAAAGAGAAGCAACGAACAATAAAGAAGATATTGTCGGCAGAATTATTGTGTTGTAACATCTCCCATTTCTATGCAACAGCACATGAGTTACAATGCCTGCGGCTACCGAAATCCCGAGCATGTGCAATTAAAAGATTATAGAATGAGGACTTGACAAACTGCATGGCAGAAAAGTCGGTATGACAAAAGTGTTGTTTGGCTCACATTCATCTAGCGTTTCAGTTACGGCACATCATTTCTCGGCTCATCAGTTTTGCGACAATATGTGGGGCAGTCTTATAACAACTGCACTTTTCTTTTTTAAACAAAACCAGTCTCAGAGATGTGAATAACCCACCCACAAATGTTAAAGCCAGGTCGTTATCTGAGAACGTGCGCTCTTCGTAATGCGTCTTAAAAAAACGACGATATTGTTGAAAACGGGCGCACTTTCGGCGTATCGCCAGTATGGCTGCTCGCGCCGATGTGAACTTGTACCATACCGTGCTTCCAGGTATGCAAGACGTTTATTGTCATTGGCTCTTTGTGTTGCTTCTACATGGAAGCTCGAGCTCATTCGTCGTACATCCGTTAGTTATCCTGTGCAGGCACAAGATTTTGAGTACGATGGCGATGCGAATGAACACACACAGCAGTGTCTGTGTTTCTTAACTCAATAAACTTTGTATTGTGACATTCTGAATCGAACCAGATGATCTGCTAGCTATGGCAGAGTTACATTAAACACAAAAAATCATGGCAAGGAAACTCGAGAGTCATTTTGAACACTAATGCGTGCACTTGAAGTGCAGCTGGACAATAAAACTTGTTGTTATGTCTTCACAACTTGGGAGCCGACTAGCCAACACACACATGTTTATTTCAACGAGCAATACAACGGAATCCCCCACCGCACACCCGCGGCGGTCTTATATCTAACAAAGAACTTAACAGTGACGTCAGAGAGCCAGACACTTCCATGTGCATCTTATCTTATATACGACACGCGCTCTATCTTGGGTAGTATTACACAACACTCCTTCCCCCCCCCCAAGTGTTTTTAGTACCGATCCGGCGGTCGTCTTTGCCGGGTGCTGCGTCGAAGTTCCGGAAGTTCCGGTGGGGAAGATTGAGTCTCGCCCCCGCCGCAGTCCCCACCAGCAGATGAAGGGCCCGGTAGGTTGACCGGTTCTTTGTTTGTATCTTCTGCCTGCTCCTCGACTTGATCGGGGTCGGCCGTCTCTCGTGCGCCCTCGATGGGTACAGGGGCACCTAAAGACCTGCGAGGCACAAC